ATCCCTGGCTTTATTAACACTTTTAATATGCTCTAGAGGCATGTAGGAGAAGCCTGACACCTGACCCAAAATCTTCAGAGTCAAAGTTTAGTTGCAAATAGAGCATGCAAAATAATACTGAATAATTTATTCTATTATGTTATTAAATGCTACAGTGTGTATTTATGATACATAAGAGCTTCGATGTGCAGCTTGGAGAATGACAAAACAGTAAGCCCTCTGTAGTAAGAGAGGGTTTTGAGGCTGAAATTCAGTTTGAGCTGAAATTTGAAAAGTGGCTTGGGTTCCTACTCAAACAGGACAATGGATATTTTTATGGGACAGGAAAAAGACACACTAAAGCTCAAAGATTGGTGTGATTTAAAAATATTCACAGTATCATGGAAACACTATTTCGGCTTAAAGTCTTTGCCAAGGCTGGGAAGAATTTTTATAAGTCTGAAAAACCTGAGCAATATTTTAATTTTATCTTAAGACAATTATAAAAATTGCCTTTTCTTTTTTAGCAACTGTTGAATGATCTCTACAATGTAATTTTTCAGCTCTCAATATCCATCTCTGTATCTGTCTGTCTATCTTGCACGTAATATGTTTACTTGATTTACAATGGAATGTTCTTTAGGTAATCTGAATAAGCATTCCTCTAGTCTTTTTATTGAGAACAGGATCCTTTTAAATACTATTTTGAAAATGTCATTACTCTTATGTTTGGTGGGTTAGGGACATTTACAGCAAGTTTCTTTCGAATGAACTAAGGCTTGCTTTCTAAATGGCCTTGTGCTCTGCATTTTATGCTATTCCTATGTCCAGGTATTCAATTCAGTAATAGTTTTCAAAAGAAAGATCAAAAGAAGACAAGTAATCTTATATGTCATTTAAAAAAATCACAACTGACTAGCTTTTGAAATAATTTCATAAACAATGTCACATTAGTATTTGAAGGCAAAGCAGAGTCATTTCATTGTGCCTTAGAGGCCAGGGTTTCCTCATGTGAGGTCCAGAGCTGTGTATAAGAATCATTAGGAGGGCTGGGGAGATAGCTCGGCAGTGTAAGCACCTGCCTGGCAAGTGCAAGGACCTGGATTCAGTCCCTGCTACTGCATGCCACGGCTACCGCAGAGCCCTAATCACGCTGTACTAGCCACTGAAACTGGGTGTGGTGGCTCACACTTGTAATTCTAGCATTAGGGAGGCTGAGACAGGGTGATCACTAGGAGTCTGAGCTGCATTGTGAGACCCTGTACCAATTAATTAATTAATTAATTAAAAATTAAAAAGAAAAGAATCATTAGGAGTGTTCATGAATAGTCATGTTTCTGGACCTTCTGAGTAGCTAAGGATTGCAGGTATGTGCTACCAAACCCAGCTCATTTTTTAAAATTGGGGTTATTTATTAAAAACCAACTATGTCAGACAATACTTTATTGCAAATACGTTGATTTATGTGCCACTTTTACTCAGATGAATTGCTTATCAGTTTCTATTCATGAAAGACCAATATTTACTAAATTTTGGAAAGGTAAAAAGAATGAAGGCCAGAAATGATACATCTCTCCCTTTCCATTATTCCTAAGGGCATTGTGGCATGATTTATACAACTTAAGCCATTCATGGTTTTATTTACTTCCTGTGTTGGTACTTTGATGGTACATCACAAGTAGCTTTATGGTTCTGTTGGGAAGATCATGACTCAGGCTCATGCTGGCCGAGTTCTATAGAGTTCAGTGACTTTGCCCAGATTATGGGGCTGAGGATAGTGTCATCTTTGCAAGAGGAACCCCAGATTATTTGTCTGTGGTGCAGGGTGATAGTAACCACATTTGTATAAGTAAAAGCAAGGAACAATGTACAAATAGCAATGTGTATGCTACACTGTGTGAAATTAATCCAGTACCCCGTTAAACTGAACCCTCTGGGTACAACTTAAAAGTTGTCACCTAGGCTGGAGCACCTCTCCTAGCTTCTTTAAATTTTCATTTGGGGTGAGGGAAGATCTTCAGAATGGTCAGCGGTGAGTCACTTGTAGGTAACCACTTCTACTTTTACTGTTTTTATTTGTTCTTCATTCCTTTAGTTTGAGTCAAACTTTTAAAAAATGTTTATTTTTAGGCTGTGATGTGAGAGTAGTTTGCATTTAAAAAGTAATTCAAGGACAATTGATCTAATGTTGATTATTGATTCATAAAAGCCTTAGTCATTTATCTGATTCATAAAAGCCTTAGCCATTTATCTGATACGGACTTTATTCAGGGTCAAAATGGTACTGACAGCAGTATCTCTGAGTCTGAGCCATTTAGGTAGGTACCTTTTCTTTCTTTCTTCCTTTTTTTTTTTTTTAAAATAGGGTCTCACTATGTAGTTGAGGCTGACCTTGAACTTGCTATACAACTCAGGGTGGCCACTAACTCCCAGCAATCTTCCTGCCTCTGCCTCCCAAATACTGGATTTACAAAAATGCACCTCCACACCTGGCTTCATTTGTGCAATCCAAGGAACTATGTACCAGCCTTGACTGAATTTTTTTTTTTTTTGCACCCCGGATTGAACTCAGGACCATGAGCTTGCCAGGCAAACACTTAAACCACAGAGCTATCTCCCAGACTTGTCTTGACTGACATTTAAAGAAGAGTTTCCTTCACCTTATTCCACAGAACCGCAATTGGTATAAACATTAAATAAGATGAAATTTCTATCTTGGGAAAAAGAAGAGATCTAGGAGCAAGGTAAAAAGGAACTTTCTTTCCTGTGCTGCTCTATTTATTTAATCCTTTTCATTTTTTCTCATCAGAAATAGATTGAGCTTCTCTATTTCCTGCATTTATGCTATGGTGGAAATGCAGAGGTAAAGACTTAACTCACATCATTTTGTTTGCTTGTTTGTTTTGTACTCCCTGGGATTAAACCTAGGCCCTTCCACTGTATTACCTGCACAGACCATTTTTTTTTTTTTCTGAGACAAGTTGTCATTAAGTTGATAAGTCACCCAGGCTATGTTTGAACTTGCAGTCCTCCAGCCTCAGCCTTTCAGGGGGCTGGAATTATAGACATGTGCCACCATGCCCACTTGCTCACAGCCTTTTTAACAGCTTTATGGAGATAACTTACACATACCACACATTTCACCCATTTCGTGACTACAAACCAATGGTTGTTAGTGTATTCAGAGGATTAACAATTTAATTTAGTTCGAGGGTCACATCAGCAGTTTTTATTTCACAGTGTCTCAGATCTAGAGGTAAAAATCTTCCTTGACACCGTTCCTGGAAGTTTGTTTCTTCAGGATAATAGTGCTTACCCTTTATTAAACCCCACTGGGCACTGTGAGCTCAACATGGTGCCTCGAGGCCTTGCAAAGTTGTCTTACTGTAGGCTCCCAGCAACAGAAAGGAAGAGGCATCTTTTGTATGATACTCCCTGCATGCCCAGCACTTCCTGGGTACAAGTGCTAGCTCATTTAGTACATGTGGAAAATTAGTGCTGTAGATGGTGGGGACTTTTGCTTTTCTCCTTTTACTGCTAATTAGCAGCTCTGTATCTTTTGCCTCGTCTTTTTTCCTCTAGCTCTGAAAGTTTTCAGGATTTGTTTGTGAAGAAAAGAGAGACAGAACAATTAGGATTTCCCTATGAAGACTAGAAGCTTAATTTCTCGCTTTTTTTTTTTTTTTTTTTTTTTTTTGAGAGAAAATACCTTTGTGCATACAGATAAGGTATATGCAAGACTACTGAAAGGCTATGACCAAATAGTTGCTTCAAACACTAATTTTACATTAGAGAGAGATAAAACATTTTTTTTTCTACAAAATTTTAGGTGTTTATTTTCAACCTAAGATTTATTTTTCTCCATGAATCTAACCTTTCTACAAGTTAGCTAACTTTTCTACTGTGAAGTAAAGCAAGGTAATGTGCAAATGTTTCTGTAATTGACATATCTTTTTAAAAATGTTCTTAAATGGCCCACGAAGAATGTGTTACTACGTGTTGACACACCAATGGTAAGAGTGCAGAATGGGAAGAGGCTCCTGGAACTTGGGGCAGATGTGTTGCTTGAGACAAATGAGTCTCCTCAAGCCTCAGCAGTCAAAAATACTCAGGTTGGCTAACTTTCTGGCACTAATTTTGATATTTTATGTATTTTCTGATGAACAATGAACATTGAATACTGAAGTTAACTGTTGTACTAATTCCACATTAAAAGAAATTATTTTGTGATATGTTTACTCTTTTAGACTATGGGAACATCTTTATTAATGAAAGTACATAATTAGAGGAAGGACTTTAGCTGTCCTAATCTGTTATTCACTGAATCTAAACTTTAATTTTTTTATTATTTGTATTTACTTTTTCTTTATTCACATTAGTTGAAATCCAGTGACAAAATGAATAAGCATGCTAAAAAATTCAAAATATTTTAGAATGAAGAAAAGGAGAAAAGAAGAAGGTGAAAAATATATATGTATATACACAGGATAGCTTGGGTAATTATAGTAATTTCTGCTGATCTATGAAAGTAGCAGTTAGTGATTAAATATTTTTTGCTATCTCTTTTTTAATGTTTCATAATTTTTTGAGCAATTTTGCATGCTGATAGCTGGTAATCCGAGAAACTACATTGAAGACAACAATATGCAATATAACAACCACTGTTGAATTCTTGTCATCTTACTTAGTGAAATTCTGAATCATTTCTAATTTTTTAAAATTAATTTTATTGAGAAACAATAGCAGTGAGACAGTTTCAAAACTGATTAATAGGACAGTTTCAGTGAAACTGAACTTTTAAACATGAAGTACATAAATGAATAAGAAATTGAGCCCCTTAGGCTACTTTTATCATTTCAACAATTAAGCAGTTTGATTCTGCAATTTCAAGTTAGTTCCTTTGAGAATTGATTTTTTTTCAAAGTTTCATGTTGCATAATCAGAGTTAGATTTAGGACTTTTCTGCATTGATACTCAAAGAAAACTATTTCTAATGGCTTCGTTTTGTTTTATTTTTCTAGGATTCAGAAAATAATAAGTTATGTTCCCTATATTCCTTCCGAAATACCTCTACCTCACCACATAAGCCTGACGAAGGGAGTCGGGACCGAGAGATAATGACCAGTGTTACTTTTGGAACCCCAGAGCGCCGCAAAGGGAGCCTCGCTGATGTGGTGGATACACTGAAACAGAAGAAGCTCGAGGAGATGACTCGGACGGAGCAGGAGGGTAGGTGCCGACCTCACCGCCGGGCTCTGCTTCTAAACAGCCCGGGCTGTAAAAAAATGAGCGGGATTTCAAGAGACTGGGAAGAGCATAATTGGCATAGAGGAGGAAAAAGTTATTCAGCAGTTACCGCGGCAACAGCAGATGCAATCCATCAGGAGTGCTAGCAGATAGCTCCGCTTCTCTTAAAACTTTGTGCGTTTAAGAACTTGGTTCTTATAATAATCAGTCCAGGCTTTAAACTGACTATAAGCATCATACTGGAAGAAGGTAGTGAGGAATTTTCCTAACCACATTTAGTTTTCATTTCTTTTTTTCTTTCTTGTTTCCTCTTGGCAGATAGTGTTTCTTTATAAAAATAATCAACTGCTTAAAAAGCAAAATCATTTTCTAATTTACTTCTCTTGAATTTTGTAAATATTTTATATTTATAAATTTTATTTTTACCTCTAAATGTTGTAAAATGAAGAGTTGAGAGTTTCTAACACTGTTAACCCTGAGAATGTTCAATTGTGAGGGCTTTGACGTGTGACATTTGCCACACATCTTTTACTCTTTTTACTCTGCACAAGAATCCACCGACGTTCACCTAGATTCTAGGAAACAGAGGTGAAAGAAGACTGTCCAGTGATATTTTGAAACAAAAAAATCAAGTCAAACTGATTGCTATACCATACATGCTGGTTTTACATTGTGAAGTCTAGATTCAGATTCTACAATGTAAGATAATGATATTTGTTGTTTTACTATCCATGTAAGTTATATACAGATTTCTATGATCACTAAGAAAGTTGGTGTTTGGTACAAGAAAAATTTTCATGTAACTAATATTTCTTTAAATACTCAAAATTTAAGTTTTAAAGTTTTTGGAGGTATGGAAAAGTCTAAAATGTATCAGGGCCATAATGCAGTAGATTAGGATTAGCGATGCCTGGACAACAACCACGTGATGAATAGTTCTTTAGTCTCTTCGAGCCATAAAATTAAAAATTTAGTGTGGCACCTATGCATGACTTCACCTCTCAAGCATTTTGAATATTAATTCTAATAATACATATAAAATTCTACTATGAACTATAAACTGTATGAATTTGAGGTGTTGTGAAGATTATGCTATAAATCTCAATCATTTTACCATGTTTTAATGCCTTTAGAGGTCAATGAGATAATTAAGAGTGTGAGAATATAAGCTTATTTCTCTGCAAGTATAAAGCTCTAGCATTCTGTGTCTCCTTGATATACATGCACAAGTGCATTTGTGTGTGCAGGTGTGTTGTTTTCTTCATTCCATATTGACTTTCAACCTATTTCTTGCTTATTTGTGAATTATTTATAATTTGTTCCTTTTGTTCATCTATAGTTTATAAAATTAGATTTATAGACATTCTAAGTTACATTTAAAGTATTAAAAATGTGGCATAGATAGGTTGCTGGGAGATTCTGGGAAACATACATAAGCTTAATTTTGGACCTCAGATTTTTTTGCTTTTCCTTTTCAAACTTTGTTTTATTCATTTTTGCCTGTTCTGAAACACTCGAATTGCCAAATCAATAATTTCTGGATAAATGAGACTATTAGATTTTTATTTTTTAAGTACTGAAAAAGCGATTTTAGTTCTATAAAGTGGTAATTTTTAGAATACCTCAGACGGCTCTTTAAAGTAAAAATAACTAAATCGGATTGTGGAGATTTTTGGCTGCTAAGGAATTTTAAATCATTTTTTCTTGTAAGTAGCGGTTATTTTTTTATTCTTCATCTTCATTACCATGAAAAGTTTATAGATGATTTTGTAATAGAAACACTTAGAAGATAAGACTGTACATTTACAAGTAGTTTATCATTATAATGATACTAATAAAGTTTTTGTATATACTTCACAGATTTTTTTTATAGTAATATGTTTTAAACATCTGAAATCCAGGCATGTAGTGTATATTAATGAACATAACATATTAAGTGCAAATATGGTGACCACATCCCATGAATGCCATATAGTACTTCAGAAACATTTGTCCAAGTGCAGTAGGACAACTCCTCTTAAAGTACATATTCTTGTAGTAATGCTGACTAAACAGAGTTGGCAATTTTTTGGCAGTATTTTTCATACTAAGTACACTGTTCTGCTGTCACCTAAAACTCATAGGTTGTTTTGTTTTGTTTTTTTCTATCTCCAGGGAGGAATAACGAATATAATGTATGAAATAAAAATCCTCAAAAGGCTTTTGACAGACTGGAAATGTGACCTCAAAAGCAATTTATCAAGATAAAATTTAATAGATCTTATTATGATGTCCAGAGGTTATGACCAAATCCTCCAGCTGCACAAGTAATTACTGATGGAAATTCAAATTGCAGCTGCATAAATAAAAAAACAAAACAAAACAACCTATAAGTTTTAGATGACAAAAGCACAATGAGCTGAGCATGAAGAATACTGCCAAAGCTCTGCCAAGGCTATTTACTCAGTATTTCTACAAGTAGATAGTATTTAAGAGGAGTTGTCCTGCTGCACTCAATCAAATACTTTTGAAGTACTGTGTTAGGTTCAGAATTAGCACAATTTAAGACTCAAGACCATTGGGATATTTTTAGAGAACATCAGCATGATCAAGGACATGAAAATATATAATAAAAGGAATGTTTGAAGAAACTAGTAATATTTAACCCGAAGAACAAAGATCAATAATAAAATTCCATTATCTTTCAAGATTAAATTCACAGAGGAGATTTGAGATTCATTCTGTCTATCTCCCTGGGGATAAAATGAAAGGACAGAAGTGAGAAGAAGTTGTAAGGAACCAGAGTATGGCCGATAGCAAGGCCAGCTGTTTCATGGTTGCATATGTCCATATGAAATAATCTTCAATCTCTCTTTTGAGTTATGCATTATTCCTGATTATCATCTTAATAGTGTGATTGTAGCAGAGTATTAGTCTATTTCCAATGCTAAGGCTATGAATGTTTATGAACCATCAGTATCCTTCTTGTAGTCCTAATTAATAATTGTACAATATTGCTCTTTTCTATCCTTTTTTTCTGCTGTAAGACATAATCAGAAAGAATTCTAATTTAATGTCTAATACATGATATGTTCCATGAAAGCTATGTAGATGAAGTGTTGTGGGAATTTGTAAGAGTGAGAGATAGCTCTGGCCTAGGAAAACAAGGAAATACATTATAGGGAAATGGACGCCAGCTGGATTTGGAGAATGAGGCAGTTTATGAAGACAGAATGGAGGAGAGAGACTTTTCAAGCACAAGGAATAGTCAGAACCCTTTAAAACACTCAAAAGCTCAGGTTTCATGTAAGGTGAATTTGCATATGGGATATAGGATTGAAAAGCTAAGTTATGTTCAGATCATGACGACCCTTCAAAACTTGGCTGACGAGTTCAGACTTCATACTTCAGTGCTTCCTCCACCAATATCTCTATCTCTTTTTGGTACAATAAGGTTAGGGCTTAGAGTTTTCCTTCAGGAAAGCTAGTCTGGAAAGACTATTTGAGACATGTGGGAGCAGAGAAAGCCATTAAAGAAATTGTTTCAGGATAGAGATAATGAAGGCCTGAGTGAAGGCAGAAGAAGTGAGAAAATAAAGGGGTGAATGTGAAAATGATAGTAGGATAAGGCATTGTTAAGGCTTGATGCTCAAGTGTGGAAACTGAGAGGAGTTTAATGAGGGTAGTAATACTGTACTGTGAGTAAAGTGAGTGGCCAGACTAGTTTGGGAAATGAGAGCAATAAAGGTCTCTGTTTTTTGTTCTGAGTTTGATACTCTGCATTTAAATTGCATTTTGATTATTTACTTGTGGGAATAAAACAGAAGAGCATAGTGGGAGAACAAATGATTATGAAAAGCATAGATTTCTGCTTCTAAATTATATTGTTGATCAAAAGAGGTAGACTAGTGCTATCAATATTTGCTTGGCTTTGTCCATTTAAAGCTCTTGCATTAAACTTAAAATATACATTTTATTGAAGTAGTATTCTATTTCTTGGGAATTTATCCTCAAGAAATAAAAATATATCTATGAGACTTTTGATTAGTAGATTTTTGCAGTACATGAGATGCTGTTGAAGGCAGGGGTGGTGATGCATGCTTGTAATCCCAGCATTTGGAAGGCTGCAGCAGGAGAAGTGCCATGAATTCAAAGCTAGTCTGTTTACATAGTGAGTTCAAGATTAGCCTGAACTACATCATGAGCTTACATAGTTTCAGGGCCTTATATGTTAGGACTCTTTAGCAGATTAAATATCTTGCATCTCTGTCCTCTAATGTGTACAAGCTGATTTATATAAAGTTTGCTCTGGTCCATTTTAAAACAATGTTGGCATGATAAAACAATACCTCTTCAGGAGGATACTGTGGTCATCAAATTGCAGTCCAATGTTCAACTGCAATTTCTTCAATTAATGTCTTCCCCAGGGCAAGTGATTCAACTAAATAGTGGAAACACTGATGAACACAGGTGCCTTCTCAGAAATGTCCTTCTAATAGTGAGGCTGAGAGGAAGGTAGATGCACTTTTTGCTTTTTGCTTTGCTTTTGCTTTAATGTCATAGATAAATAGGTAGATAGGATGGAGAGTAGGTAGATAAGACGATAAATAGATGCATATATGGATTTGAATGACTACTAGAGTCTATCTTTTAAACACTGTCAATGTTGGTGGGTTCAGTGTACAGAAAGGTTGATTAATAGTTTTGGGTTAAAAAGCTTCCAAGGTAAAAATCTTTCAGCTGTGATTAAATGATGAATTTTAGTTATCCTTGTGTCACCCATCTTGTTGCCAATATAGCTACGCTGTAACATAAGCGACAGTTGTCAGAAAATGAACACTTTAAAAAGGACTTCTATATCTAAATACATATATTTAATCAGAGAGTCCTTTGGCTTCTGAAAATAAGTTGTCTAATGAGAATTTCATTTGAGCAGCTGCGACTGAGGAGGTCAACAGGCACTGCCTAGGAGAACATGGCCCAGCTGGTTAAATCTGGTTGTT